TATATACATATATATCTGAGCACGTACGAGCGGCATTCGTTTGTTGCACGCGATCTGATAATATTATTATTTCCATTCCGCCTTGTATTTCTGTTGCCCCAACTCCTGGCTTTTATAAGGCTGCGTGCCAGGGTGATCAGAAGAACAGGAGGTTATATATATGTATATTTCTGGGAGTGGTCTCCATTGAGGGGGCAACTCGGAGAAGAACTTACATTTGCATATGTTTGCCTGCCATATAAATTCTTTGCATGTCGCATGTTTCATGTTGCTGGTGGCCATTTTGAATTTCCCTTTGCTTTTCCAGCTTTAATTTATGTGTGTGAATATTTATGAGCCGGTCTATGAGCCAACTGGTATTTCTTGGCTATAATTTCAAGCAATTTACTAAATTATATAATCTCGAATAAGGTTAAAATGGTTTGAGTTTTGTTTGAATTTCTATTAAGAAGATTGGAAAAGACTGTTAAGCTACTATTTGTGATGTTTAGGTTCTTGTTTCATTATTTTTCTTAAGAAAACATTCTGTTTCTATACGTTTATTCAGATTTTCTTGTAGTTTATGAAGAGTTTTCCTTCATTACTATAATATTTCCCATAAAAGAAACTTCCTCTACCATTATATGATATCATAAATATAACAAAACAACTCCCTTTGCAAAACAGGCAGTTTAATTTACAATTCCCAAAAAGAAAACAGAAAATATCTTTCCGAAACCCCTTTAACAACCTAAACCTTACCCCAAAGGACCGGATACCGTTATATAGTAGGCTCTAACCCAGAAAAAGGAAGAAGAAAAAGGAGAAATAAACGTCAAATCGAATCAAATGATTTTATGATGTAATTTGAGCTAATATTTACGATATAAGAGCAGCTAAAACAGCAGCAAAATGCCAAATAAATGTTATTGTTATATTGTCGCTTGGGTGGTGAGAGACAAACAGATATATATATATATATGAAGACGCCCTCCCATTTTCCACACATTTATGATGCTGGAAAACAGGAAAGGAAAATGCCAAAAACAAAACCAGAGCAAAAAAAAAAACAAAAACAACAAATATTTTGCCAAAGACTTTAAGTTGGGTGGAAACCCAAAGAGGAGGAGGAGGTGGAGGAGCACACCACAAGTCAAGTGTTGAGGTTTTGTTGGTCCAAATCTCTGGAGGGCCATTGATGAAATTGCTCTTGCCGTTGGCTTTCGAGGACTTCCTTCTTCCCCACAAACAGAACTTTCGCTTTAATCTTCAACCACAAAAACGTTTAAATTCGAGCAGAGCTAACTTATGGAAGTCAGGTAATAAATGTCTCCCAATAGGTTTTTGGCCAAGAGACGACAGCCAGCCGAAAAGGAAGATGTCACAGGGGAGGAGGGGTGTGATGTGCTCAGTGACAAATTAACGCCCAGCGGGGGGTGGTGGCGAGAAAGATGTCCTCGGAACCACCACCAGTGACCGTAACTAACCGCAAGAGTAACATCAGTTACCCAACTGTAACTGCCCTTGTCCTTGGCCACTGATTTTTCCCCAGGGTGCGGACCACATAATTGCCCAGCAATCAACAGCTGTTCTAATAGGGAAAACACCAGACTAGACTACAGACAGACCTCAACCTGATATAATTTATGGCCCAAATGATCTTTACTCTTGCTCTATTTCTGTTGTATTTGTTATTATAGAATCGGTTTTCCATGTTTAAATAGTTTTTCTTTGTCGGCATTTGAAGTTGTGATGTAGAACATCCCATAGGCCTATTGACTGGGCGGTGGAGGATTGCTGATGTGTAGTTAGGAGTTATGCTATACACTGAGAGATCTTACTTGTTATATAACAATAAATCACAAGAACTGATGGTTGGTAGTTTTATATGATATGCATGTACTCTCTTTTGTATGGGAAATATTTCATATATTTTATGAACTTTTTCGCACAGTGCTTCCTTCTTCAGTAACGATCACTAGAGAAGCTATAGAAACCAATCAGCCCATAAACACCTCCTCTACCTCCTCATACATATAGTGGACACTCGATGAGTGAAGAACAACCATTAAAGCTTATCTGAACGATTTTTTACCCCCGTGGGCTTGAAACTCTACAATTTGTAACTCCATCGATATTGATACAGACCTCAACTGGGATTAGGAGGTGCGTACATGGATGGTCTATGCCTTTTAGAACTTTGCCGACGGCTCCTAAAGCCAACTATAACTAATCTATCATTACATGTGTTGTCGGAGAGAAGGGGGTTGGAGATATTCTAAAGCAAACACATAAGGCCAAACGCCAGTTCAAAATCAAACTTTCAATTAGGTAGTGGAGTGTATATGGAAGGAGTACTCCATATATCGAGTTAAGAACGAACCCCCATTCGATATAAATTACGGAGCGTTCAACATCATGACGCGATGGCACTGGGGGCCCAGTGACAAAGTCATAAAAAAATGTCACACCTTGACGCACAATTTTTGTTTAATTGCTAATAAAAATACGTACGCTGAAGCCGGGAATTATATATAACAGATATTTATAACGCATAATATCCCCAAAGTATATATATCAGACAGATTTTCATGTACAATTATTTGCCAAAATGACGCTCTGCTTTTTTTTTTGCCATTCATTCACAATCTTATCTTCTGCTGGGCAAGAGGAAAGCGGAGATCTAAGTACGGAGATCTTAGTGGTTCAGACAATGGAGCATTAGCATTAGGATCAAGTTGATCCACATTCATGGCGTTTGTCTCGCTGCCTCGTTTATTACTAACAATAAAACACTCAGTACGGCTGGATAGAGTGACTTTATAGTTGTGCTTATAATACGTGTACGATTTATTAGATTATGGCCGTGAAGGTCAGCGGTGCCAGGCACTTGTGAACCACCCACAAATCCACCATCCCCCCTCCCTCCATCGCCCTCCAAAGCGTGTGCTGTGCTCCAGTTCCAGTCAGTCCCTAATTCCGTGCGGATTTTCTCTTGTTTGTGCTCCGCTTTTTGTTTTCAGGTGTGAGAAATTGGAACCTCCAAGTGGTAACCAGATAAAGCAGCCCATGAGGTGGTGTGTGGTGTGTGGTGTGTGTTTGTGGGTCTTAGATAGAGATAAGACAGCCTCTTGGAGGTTGCTCTGCAGTTTTCGCAGCTGAGTTACTGGAAAATAAGGTCGTTAGGTTAGAGAAATGGATTGAAATGGTTTGTTGGAATGAAAGTTTTACTTTTTAATATTAAATAAACACGAAGTCGGGAATTGAAATAAATTAAAACAAACTTTATGATTTTGATGGTTTTTTCTAACTTTCAGATTTAAAAAGAGTCACCCATTTTAGTAGCTCTTGATCCTAATCAGCTAATCTTTTACATATCATCATCCACCTACCACTTTCAAAATAGACCCAATCTTACTCATACTTTACCTCACATTGCGAAATCATCCGAAAATATGTTTTATTTTTTCTACAATTTACTCAGTAAATCCTCAAAGCTGATAATATTGTTGTTTTAATTTAGTTTTATTTCTTATTTGAGCACTTCCTCAAATCCGTCAAGTCTGTCTAAACAAGTTATTTTTCTGTTGTTGGCTTGTTCTTGGGAGCCAAGCCCTCTTTATCAGTAGATTGGAGGCCCCAAGAACACGCGCGCAGAAGATTTTCCCAACAAGAAGTACTAAAAATGGCAAGGTAGACTGAAAATTTTAGATTTATAGTGTTGAGCAAAAAAAAAAGGAAAAGAGAAACTAGATTATGAGGGTCTTAACATTATTCTTGGACTGAGTTCTTCTTTATACGATTGCCACACATTAGACTAAGCAAACTTAAGGCAAAAGAGCGACGGCAATAAATTCACGTCTAAATAAAGTGTAAAGAATAAATAGAAGAGTGAGAGAGATAAGGTGGTCTGAAGTAACGGTTTAAGGGGTTTATGGAAATCAGAGTTCCGTTTTTCTAGACTTACTAGAAGTAATAGTTTTAATCTAAGAAATTCACAAATCGCCAGATTATAAACTAATACTTTGATTGTTATAACATATTATTATGGTCATATATCATTTATCGTAGGGCATCTTTAGGTCTTTAACACCTACACTCTTTGCACTCTGCTCTCTCCTCGCCCTTCTCTCTATCTATATCTCTGCTGTTACCGTTGAACTTTATCATCTGTGAAAATATTTGTTTGTTTGCCTATTTGCTCAATTTTAATTGTGAGAACACTACGTACGGTATCATAGTACATAAAAAATTAGAGCAAAATCCCCAAGCCGAAATGCTGTTTACTTAAAAAAAAAGTATCTTTGGTGTGGGTGTGTTTATCACGTAGGCAGACTGTGCCACGATCCCGTGGCCTTTTTCATGCCTTTAGGAGATGAGTTCTCCTACGTTTTCTGGCTCTATTTTTCTTGTTGTATTCCCAGTGTTTGTGGTGTTTCTGTCATTTATTTGAATTTTGATTGACTAATTGCGCAGCTCAGCGCCATATTCAGTGATTCTTCTATGGGATTCTACGTAGAATTGTTACACCCTGTGTCAGGGAATTGTTTTTTCATGTTTACCGCTTCGACGTGTGGTTGGGCTCCACCAATCTTGTTATACAGCTTGTGACAGCCTTCTATGGCTATCATAATTTAAATATTGTCATCTATTATAACGAGATGAGCTGAGGCAGAGGAACATGTTTGTCCACCTGACGCCAGTCACTCCATTCGGTTGACACTTAAACCGAGAATGAGGCAACTTGGCAACTTGCAAACTTGGTCAACAGTCAAGGCTCTCTGACGACAAAAATTTTCACATGATCTTTGTAGATCTTCACTTTTTGCACATATAAAGTTTGGAAAAATTTATACTACTTAATTGAATTATTTATATTTTAAATCATTAATGTTTGTGGAATGCATTATGCTTGCTGATAATGATAATAACTATAGCGTTATCGCATGGTTTAGTTTAATTTCTTAATATTTTTTCAACTTAACTAATAGATTTATACCTTTTTATCATTTATTTTATAGGAAAAACCCGCACCAAGGACAAGTACCGAGTGGTTTACACCGACTTCCAGCGCCTGGAATTGGAGAAGGAGTACTGCACATCCCGTTACATCACCATCCGGCGCAAGAGCGAGTTGGCCCAGACGCTAGCATTGTCGGAGCGTCAGGTTAAGATCTGGTTCCAGAACCGCCGAGCCAAGGAGCGGAAACAGAACAAAAAGGGCAGCGATCCGAATGTGATGGGAGTGGGAGTGCAGCATGCGGATTACAGTCAACTTTTGGATGCTAAAGCGAAACTGGAGCCGGGTCTGCACTTGCCACATTCGCTGGCCCATTCGATGAATCCGATGGCGGCGATGAATATACCAGCAATGCGTCTCCATCCCCACCTGGCTGCCCATAGTCACTCTTTGGCGGCAGCGGCGGCACATTCACATCAGCTGCAGCAGCAGCACAGTGCACAAATGTCCGCTGCGGCGGCAGTGGGAACACTCTCGATGTGACACGATCATTCCTGTTATACGAACAACAGCGATAATAACAGTTACATGGAGCCGCAGCAGCATTCGCTGCTGGGTGGGAGCGAAAGGGGCGAAGGATGCGATGGATCCTATAGTGCACCAGCTCTCGCAATGGACTTGGCTTAACCCTTAGGTCGCGCAGTCAGACTGTTTCGACCAAATCAACCAGAAAATAAGCACCCAATAAAATGGAGGAGGACTTGGCGGCCGTTGGCACCTTGAATATTGCACGTTGTTAATTTTTGTGATTGTATATTCCTGGTTTTAACACACGTCAATGTCCTCTTAGATAAACAAGTACCAATATTCTTGTATTATGTTTGTTTTTTGTTCAACGTATGTAATTTAAAGTAAATGTTTAGCTTTGTAAGTTGTAGTTTTTAAGTTGCCCATGAAAAACAAAAACAATTCAAACCAGCCGTCCCAGCATAAACTTTATAAACAATTCTTCGCAGCAACTTAACATAATTTTAGTACAAGCAATTAATTTTAAAACGCAACTTGATAATTCAGCCCGATGTAAATATCCATATAAAAAAAGAGAGTTTTAACGTTTATTACTTTTATATATCGTAATAACAATTAGCCGTAATTTAATCTAGCTGTACTAAATGTAAAATGTATTGCATTTTTCGAGCACAAAAGCAAAATTACCATTTAAATAAATAATTTTAACGTATACAACCACAATTTTACTTAGTTCAATTTTTGGCGGTAATTAATTTATACAATGTGAATGTATGTGTGTATATGTATGTGCTTAGCTATTTAAATAAAATATAAACAATAAAAATACAAAAAATAAATGGAATTTTTAATTTCTCACTGAGTTTAACAGGGGTTAATGTTCACAGCTACGCTCCACCTACCAAAACCAACAACAAAGGCAAACGTCAATCAATTTATCGCCTCTTCTCTTTGCCCGCTCGTTCGCCTCTCCACTCGGCCATTACTGTTATCGGTTATACGGTTGGCTCGCTCGCACTCACGCAAATCGACTGGGGTCAGTTGGGGCATTGCATTTTGCCTGCAATTAGAGTTTATAAAAAGTCAATTAAGTGCATTTGATATTTTGTGAATAAATGCGTAGAAAATGTTGAGTTATCTTTAGTCTGAACTCATCAAAAATAAATATTTTTTCGACGCAGAAATATGTTAGAAGAATCTTTGAAATAAAAAAATAAAACAAATTTGTAGTTTTTTAATCAATTTACATCTCAACGTTCTTTAGAAAAATTTCTACAAAGAAGAAGAAGGGCCTTCTAAAGCTATACGCTATAGCTCGAAAAGTTTTATTATAGTTTTTAAGCGCTGAACGGAAATATTTACGGCTTAAAACGTAAATTATGAAGTTATTTTATAAACAAGTGCCAAGGCTTTTTCTTGTATAGCTTTGGCATACATACTCATATTAGTAATAATGCAGATGCAGTGCAGTTTTGAGCAATAGCTTATAATATCTGTTGAACAGAATATCCTCGAATTTTTTACGATGCTAGTTAAATTTATATTGGTAATAAATTAGAAAATTCAAATGAAATCCCAGTCGCGCTATGAGGAATGCAAAGGAACAGACCCATTGACTTGGCGCCCGTCACAACAAACAAGGCGATCTGAAGTGCCAGACGATAGGAGCACGAATATAGTACACATCTAGCACTTATAGTGTACTATAGTATAGAGTATAGCAGTTGTACCTGGCTGGGGCTCTTGAGGGGTTGATTTATAGGGTTTGCGATTAGCAGAATCGGAAACGTCAAAGCCGATGCGAAGAGAAATATACAACCTGTCCAGATTTTGATACAACGGCTTGGCTTGGAAACCTCCAACCGTAGAGAACCGTGACCGAATCGAAAAACGTTTTAAGATTAAAACGGCAGCATGTTCAGGGTTTTGTTTCTTTTTTCTCTCTGAAAATATTTTGACTTTTATGTAAGCGAAGATGCAAAATGACCTGGGGAGACCCCCGGTAACCAGAAATAAAAACAATACGAGAAAAAACCCCTCCTCGATAAAGGAAGTGGACGACGTTTTCACACCTACACGCTAAAAAAAAGATATACCAAATTGAGAGCGGGCGACTGCAGTGTGTGTTTGCATTTGTTTCTGTTTTTCTGTTACGCCAAATGCACATGTCCAGAGATCGACAGATATCTATATATGTATATTCACCGATTTTGGTAGAACTCTGCAGTTCAACCCGTTTCATTATCCCTGGTCGCTGGCCTTTGGTCATCCTGGCGTAACGAAATGCTTTTTTGACTTTTGCCGACGACGCCTTGTGTTTTCGTTTTAACCCTCTGTTTTTCTTGGCTACTGCATTACACATATTGCTGCCAAAATTACTCTGAATTCACAGCTTATGTTTTGCGTCCGCCATTTCGTCCTGCAAACACATCCTGACATTCTCAAAAATGGATAAAATACATCCTCGAATCGGGCATCTCTCACTCAGCCGGCTGATTTATGACTCAATGTATCTGGTTTCATGTGAAGCCAGTTTTGCCCAATGGCGGCAAGGGGGATCCTAGCGAATGGGAGCCATAAAATGTACGGAGCGATCTTACTCAGATCACTCACGAACGGGATATAACTTTTATGGTGCCTATGCACAGGGCGAAAATTATCAGGGAAATATAGTTACAAAAGTAATAAACATTCATATTATGGAATTTATTAAATATAGTTTTAAATTAGTTGGAAATTGGATTCAGTGCTGGACACATAACAATTCAGGAAAAATTAAGATCTCTAGTTAAGATAACATAAAACTACAGAAACTGAAAATCGTTAAGTTATTGAAATATTATTGTTACCTTTTATTTATCTTTCAATAAAGTAAAACCCTTTATTCTTCAACTCCATACTCTCTCAGTGCCTGGCAATATGGCTGCTAATAGGGTCCAGATCAGATCCCCTGCCCCAGCTCCAACCCTCTTCCTCGTATCTTAATTGGCACCCATAGGAGGAGGATCGTCAAAGCGGCAAAGCGACCCCTATGGTTATAAAAAAAAAAAAAAAAAGGAAGATACCGAATAGCCCCGTAGTCTCGTCCGGCATAATGCCCAATCATCTCAACGGCTGCTTACAGCTGCTCCCTGTCACCGTTGCAAGATCCCCTTTCCAAGATCCCAATTCATTGTCCTCGTCTTCCGCCGAGTCGTGCAGCCATAAAAGTTTATGGTAGCCGAGAAAAGTAACGAAACATTCAAACTTTTTGTGCCGTTAACGAAGCCTCCTCCTGCTCTTTCGATCCGTGATCAATTCCCAGTGGACGCTGTATGTCTCTATTAGCGACGACAATGGCGAACGTTGGGTCAGCATCTCCAGTATACAGCATCCAGCGGAGACGGCCTGCAAAAGATTATAAATTTTATACCATACACGTCATACATAAATGCCTGTACTTATGCACTGAGGGAAAATATTATTTGTAATTAGAAGATATCTTTTATATAGTGCTTGATACCAGAAAACAAACTCTTTAATCTATTTTTGGCTTATTTCTTTTTTTTCAGCTAATATGGATATGCTGTTATTGAATCTAAATTACATAATTTAGTCAATGATATCTGTTTCAGTGGATATAAAAACCTAGAGGTTGACGATATCACTCCAATCAAGCTGTTTTTAAAAGGAATTCCTTGATCTGATCGATCCCCTCTCTAGTTGCGCCCATGGGTCTCTTCTTTTTTGTGTACACATCTTTGACTTTTATGCATTTATTGCTGTGAAAAAATGTTAATTCTTGACGTTATACTTTTATTTGACTTTTACATTTCGATCTTCTCGCCCTGAGATCTTCATCCGACCATACATAGTTGACTCTTTGGCCATCCATATATCCATATATTCGACTGGTTAAATTGGTTGATTCGCCTCAGACTCGTATACTATGTATTAATTGGTCAAAGACTGTAAAACGGAAAGTAAGCGTTATAAATCAATCGTTGAATAGTTGAAGGGAATGGAAAATAAAGGGAGTGGCTCATAGCAGAAATGATTTTAAGACTTTAAATTTTTTATAAATAAATGTAGAATTCAACAAACCATAAATCTTAATGATATTTTAAATTCTTTATTTATTGATTTGAAGATAAGAAAACTTTTTAGACTTTATACTTTTAATAGTAAATGAGTCACTTTAAGTTGCATCATTAAAGATCGACGCTTCTTTAAGTCAAGGAAGAAATCTGAAATAAAATCTAATTTTATTTTTATCAACTAAATGCCATAAAAATTGCCATTCTTATAGTCTTATTCCATATTTATGATTTGTCACTTATCTTCAGTCAGTTTCTAAATATAGTATTCATTCATTAAACAATTTGCGAGCAATCAATTTGTTAATTTAATTCTTATTTATTATTTTTAAATGTTTAAAATAATTTAAATACTTTTTGTTGATTAAAGAATGAATTTCCAGTGAGTTGCGTTAAATGTTTATATCTTAAAACGAAAACAAAATTATTTAAATATTGGTGTGACAGCCACCACTTAAGTTAAAATTTATAATAAAAGCACTAAATCACGATAAAAATAAACTGCTTGCTTGTATATTAAAATTGCGTAATAAGTGTATAAATTACTTGGTAAGCTAATACAGTTTGTTTTTTATGATTTAAAATAGCATGGATAAAAATATAATAGTCATAAATTTACTTTTCGTTCAAGTTCAGACTTAGGTCTATATTTTTCGGCTTAGTTTTACTAAGCAACCGTTCCATCCGGTTATTGTTTTTATTTGGCTACCCTTTCGGTTTCAAGATCAGATTGGATAGGATCGGATCGGATCGACCGGAGACAGTTTGCGTCTATTGTGTGAGGGAGTTTGATTAACACACAATATCCACTGACCGAAATCTTTATTAGTGACCATGCACTAATTAAGCTCTGTCGTGTGATTTGGGGGTTCGCATTCGTTCGCGTTTGTCACTCGATGCAAATGAATCGCGTCTCTGTGGAGCAGCAGATCATAAAAGCCGCTAAAAGGTGTGGGCGCGAAAAGGAAAACAAAGCTCCCAACCAGCCAGCCAACAATTCTTTTGTTGATTGAATTGATTAGACCCGAAACTGAGTTCGATATATTTGATTTTGAATATTCGTTGCTGGCCTGGCGAGGGTGTAATTAATCACAGCACTCAAGTTCGTCACTAGACCAAAGTGCTAAACGCGCTAATAAAACCAATTTACATAGCCCAAAAAATGTTACTTAGAAGTATGAATATTGAACTGATATGTGTCTGAAGCATCAGATATCTAAAAATGTTAATTTTCTTTAAAAACGACTTAATTTGCAAATATCTCTTAACCTCTAAGATTCTGTATTAAATTTATACTCCTAATTTTGAGGATATGTTTGAAGGTTTGTAATGGATTACCGACGCTATTGAAAACTTTGAACATTTTTAGACTTAAATTTAATAAATTAAAGTTTATTTATAAACTGTAAAATGAATATATAATACAAATCTTATCAAAAATTCCATTTCAAATTTCCCTCCAATATTCTAATCGTATGTGGTTGTAAACAGTGATAAAATGGTTTTGGAATACAATGGTTTATGTCAGTGATATAACCAATATTTTTTGCAACCATTGCTTGAAACACAGCTAAACAGCGAATAATCGACTATCGTATTTTGAAATATCGATAGTATGGTAAGAAATCGTTTTGCCATTTGGCCACACTGAATCGCACTGAAGTTGTTTGTCATTCAACAAAAATTTTGTAAATCACTCAATTTTCGTTAAAAAGTCTGAAATACTTAAAATAAAATAAACTATGGTGAGTAAATTTGTTAAATAATGTTATTTGAGGTGCTAATATAGTGAATTGCAGTACCAGCCATCAGTGAAAGTGCAACCCGCGGAGGTGTCCGTGCTGAATGCCACCGGTCGTGTGGGCATGCCAACGGAGGCCAATTGCCTTAACCAACTGGCCCATGTTCACCGGCTCCGCGACTCGGAACTCAACTACAACGAGCACCAGTATAATCTTAATATGCAAATGCTCCGCAACCGCGAAGGACTCGGTGTCCCCCTCAAAATGGGCATGGAACGCTTTGCCGCCCGCCAGGTGGGACGACTGCCCTTCCTTCCGTCCAGGTAAGTGATTTTTGTCTAATTTTTGTATTGCCGTGAACCCAGGATGCTCACCTCATCCCAATTACCGGCCTCATATACTATCACTATGAATCCCTCTATAGTAATTTGTTAGTGTTTAGTCAAGTTTTTATTTCATTATAAAAAGTTAGTTGTTAGTTCTCTAATAAATCAAATCGTAAATCATTTTTAATTTTAAAGTTTCTAATAGAAATAATATTGTCCATTTAACAAACCATCCAACATTTCATTATTTCTTTACAAAATTTATTCAAATTTTTCTCAATTCTTGTAGCCACATCATGGACGATGTCCTGACTGGCCGTTGTGATTCCATTGGCTTTGAGGACTTTATGAACCTGCCCGAGTACAGCGAGCAAATGCGTCAGCCCCACGCTGTGGTGGAGAAATCTCTTGGAATTCACCTATAAATCCTTATAAATATAGTTGCTTTAATGCCTGGCATTCAACAAAAACACATTCTAAAACATTAAATTCGGCAAATAAAATGTATTCTGGTTCCTCGGTTAAAGGATAACAACATCTATATTTTCTTTGAGCCAAATTTATTCGTATTTTATTTATTTTACTCCACATCAATATTCAACTAGTTCGTTAAACTTATACATTTTATTCAAACAAGTCTAAAAACTACAAGAAATATTGGCAGAAAGGATTGTTGTACTGAGGAGATTCGTTAAAATTATAAACCGAGGAGATATGTATCAACATAAATCATTTATGTTCGTATAAATAAAACAATAAGAGATTGCAAAATGGACGAATTCGTTTCGTAAAATTAGGCTTAGACTTAAGGAAAACTGAATTGTAAACGGAGGGCGCATTTCAAATTATACAAAAAATTGCATATATACATAATTGATATTTAAAGAGACTGATAACAGTAATTGATTTGAGAAACAACAGATATAAATATTTTATCAATAAGAACTAGTATTGAAAATGGTATTTTAGTGCTTTTTTTATAAAGATTTGTAGTGGGCTACCGCGATTTGAAGCTTCAATTACTGGAACAATCCCTTTTATTGTGATGATAGGCAATAGGTATCTGTTGTATATATTTTCTGCATATGCAAGAAGGCGAAATTGCAAATAGCTTATGATGGTTAGCGTTTCATTTTTAGTAGATCCAGTTGACAGGCACCCACTGCTCCTCGTGGCTCATCTGATCCAGAGTTTCCACCACCTGACGGAACGTCTCATCAAAGTCCTCGTTCACTATAACCATGTCGAAGTATTTCTCGTATTTCCGCTGAACAAAGCTGCTCTCCTCAACGGTGGCTACCAGATCGTCATCCTGTTCAAAAGAACCATACAAATCGAATGTGTTAAGCAATGTTTGGGTATTCAGGCAGAGATCTAAGAGGGCTACTAGGGTTGCCTAAGTGCGCCAAGCGGATGAGTGAATTTATCACATTTGATAGGTATTTTATGCAGATTTTAAAAGCAACTTTACCTCATACAACGATGCTAGGGACTCGAGCGTACGGGCGCGTCTGGAGCTGAATCGAATGGAACTCTGACGATCAAACTGTGGAATACGTGCTCGGATTAAAGGATTGTGCCTGAACTAAAAGGGTTCTACGACAAACATACGGATAGATTTCTATTGGAGCCCGTGGCCCTGCGATCCGCATAGATGGTCTTGAGCTGTTCCATGCCCGGTGCTGCCACAAAGATAACGAATGGCATCAGTTCCTGGCTGTTATGCAGGATCTTCAGAGCATTTGGTGCACAATCCAGGATGCACATGCGTCCACTATTGATCACATCCTTGATGGACTGCAAATGGGTGCCATACAGATTGCCATTGTGCTCGCCATACTCCAAGAATTCGTTATTCCTAACGGCCTCATCCATCTCCTCGCGATCCATGAACCAATAGCTCGTTCCATTCTCCTCCAAGGCGCGCTTGGGACGACTGGTATCTAAAGTGATATAGTAAATCAGATTTATATATTTAAACACTTTTACAAACTTAACTTACGAGGAATAACTGCTCCAAATTTGTCCACATCGCTGTTAATAAGACGATTCTTTAGCGTACGTCTTCCCACTCCGGAAACACCAATGAGAACCAAGGTTTTCCTGCGGAACGGAGGCATCCGCGTGACCTCCTCATAAAGCAGCAGTTCCGCCTTGTCGAACTCACAATTGGCCACCGATCGGTACATGGTCTTTCGCTTTCGCTTCGAGATCTAAAACGAAATATTATGTTTATTTTGAAATTATTTATAGATTTAATATAAAAACTTACCCTTGTTCCACAAATGCCAATTTTGTGAACATAATCCGCCTCGGGAGCCACAAAAGCTTTGCGTCTCTCCTCCAATTCTTGGGATGGTATAAGACCAATTTTTTCGGACTCGGCAGTGATGTTCTTCGCCTGCCACCAGTTGGGGTCTTTGACATTGATGATCTTTATTTAGGGTATAAATACATTAATATTTCTAAAATATTTTATTTTATTTTATTTATACTTTATACCTGCAAAATATCCCCTGATTTAAAGGGCAATCCAATGTCCCTGCATGGCAGCAAAGAATCCTCCGAGGGCGTGTATGTGAAAAGCGCTCGCATATAGCACTGTGAGTTTAAAATAATATAATTTTTTAATTTATTAAATAACTATTTAACATTTTTAACTGGCCTTTAGTTGCTATGCCAAGATTTACTTACTTAGTTGCAAGGGATTCGAGAATTTTGAAGGGATTTCGCTCTAAGATTGACTAATATTAAATTTATTATGGAACAGAAAAAGTAACCATACTTCTACATAGGATTTGTATGGTCTTTTTACAAGGAAAAAACCTAATAAATGTAATTAATTTAAACATTTTTATCGCAAGTCAAGAATCTTGTAATGCAGCAAGCACAATAAACTACGAATTTACAACTTATAAAGCTAAATTTGAAGTACAAAAACTTAGCAAAAGCTAAAAAAAAGAAAGAACTTTCATTATTTGAATTTTTTCTTAACTAAAAATAAAATTCATTTCTCCTCCCAACTAACCAAAACTCATGCAAGCAAGTAACAATCTTTGGGAAGAATTCTTCAAGCAGACACCGAACTTACCGTTAGTTTCTTGCCCGTCTCGAGACCCGCGATGCCATTCTGTTTTACCTGACCCCCACTCACAGTATAGCGACCGCTCTTGATCTCCTCATCCACATTGGGTCCGATCTTCAAAGTGAGATTCTCCTTGGCCCGCGATACCTCCACTTGCAGCTCATCGGGCGTACGAACTGGAGTGCCATTGACCTCCAGAATGACATCGCCCACATGCAACATGCTCTGTTTGTCGATCACTCCGCCTGCCAGAATTCTGGCCACTACCAGTTGCTTGAATTCATCCAGTTCCACGGTCAGGCCAAGGGGTTTGCTGGGATCTCGGCGCAGACCCACCATCTTGATGGTCTCCACTGGCATCTTGGTGCTGAGAATGTCCTCGGTGAACAGGTAGCCACCCGATTGGCGTTGGCTGGCGATCTCTAATTGGGTGGTGGATCCACCGGCAGCTTTCAGTCGTTGCTCGTAGAGCGCTCCTATTTCATCATGGGCGCGCAGAAGGGCCTGAAATATGTATTTTTTATTAGAAATTATTACTAATATAATATCTTTATTGTTCCTATTTTGAATCATAATTCTTGTTGATTTTGCTTTATATATATTTATATATTATTACGTTGGTCTATCAGTATTTAAAAAACACAAATATTTTGAGTTTGGACAACTTTTAAGACAACATCCGTTTCATTTTGCTGATTCAAACAATAAAACCTTCACAATCTCATTGAAAAGTTCTGACAGCACTGCGATTATGTTTATCTAAACTTCCTGTTCCAAAACATAAACAACATCCGTTAGAAAATCCTAAAAAAATATTTATAAAATACGAAATCAAAGTCATTGAGTCAATCAATCAAATAAGCGAAGATAATTGACAATACAGTCCTGTTAAAGATTATTATTATTGTTATTATTATTCTTGATCTAAGATCATAAATATCTATAGTGAGAGTGTAGAAAGGCCTTTTCCAACCACTTTCCTTCTTTACTTACACGAAAATGTGGCTGGGCGAGAAGCTTGGCGAGCTCTCGCGACTCCAGACGCCTCGAGGGTGAGAACTTGCGGATAATATCGTCGCAGATCGGCTTGTTATTCAGATGAGCGGGCAGGAATAATGGCACTGGCTGCGGCTCGGTCGGATTCAGCTGGAAATGAGACAAAATTATATGAAGACTTTGTCATGTACGCCTAATTAAATTCAGTGGTTCGTCTGGGGCGTGCCTGCCCTAGGTCAAGTTATGAAGCCTCCAACTTAATTGAGTGAGTGCGTTAATTGGTTCAAGCTTTTTGGACAGTCTTCTTCTTCTTTCTCGCTGCCTCTCCAGCTATATCTTTGCCATTTAACCCTTTGTGAACTCCACCGCTGACAACAGAATATTTGGAGTCTTAGGTCAAAAATTGGGTCGCTTGCCATTTGAATTTGGGTCGCGCGGAAAGTGAGTTTTCTGCTTTAATTGCACATAATTTCATCTTCCGGCTTTATTTGTTCCCTGTCTGTGCCAGACTTTGTTATTCTGTGGCATCTTGAATGTATTATTCCAGCCCCATTGGCATTTTTCGCCCACGATGGGAAAGTCATCTGAGTCAACGACGTACTCATGCAATATTTATGTGTATTTAATGTGGGAGTACTTTTCTCTTTTGCTCTCTGCAAACTGACGAGAAACACTATCTCTAGAGGTGTGATAAGAGGAAGACGAGGAGAAATGCAGTCTCTATAAGAACTTTATTCTGGGAAATTCTTCTGTGATTTGCTTTTACAAAATGGAATGGAATGTCTGGAATTTGCGTGGAAGAAACCTCACTTTTATGTTAGTGAAAATGTTGTATTTATATCTTTAATTGGTTTTGGAAATTTATATAACGAATTGGGATTAAATTTGAAATATTAAGTTTCAGGCCTATGATTCTAAAAACAATAATAAAGTTTCATTGATTTAGGATTATATTTTTATGACGATTCTTGAATGAGTAATCCTTTTGACTTTTGTTTATTTATACCTCAAAGCCTTTGCAGATCGAATTTCTGCTGAGTTCTATGGGTTTTACTTTAGTTCAGCCCTTTTACCGTGTGAAAAACTGTGAAGAAGCCCCACGCGACAGACAATCCCCACCCTTTTTTCACACACACCCACAATTGTTATTGATACCTCGTCAGCTTGGGGCTTTCACCTCCACTCAGCAAAATGTTTCTCGTCATGACAACGTCAGTTTAAAATTGCCTCAAAATATGTAATGAATAGCAACAGGTGCTTACTAAATAAAACTGGTAATTAGACACACAAACGAAAAAAAAAACACGTAAACAAGTAGGGAACTGTTTTGTCTACTAACAGTAACTGTTAACTGTTTTTGGCCAACTTTAGACTTTAACTATTTGAATAAATTATAAGTTTTTAAGGCCATTTAGTTTTACAATTACATTAACCGTTGTTGTTAATATTTTTATTTGACTTTTATATCGTGTTGTCTTTATTTTTGGAGCCACTCCCAAAACGGTAGTGAGTATTTTAAGCCAAGAGCGAGCGGCTATATCGGTGTACAATACGTGTGTGCGGGAGAGAGCCTCTCTTTTTGTTATTTCGAAGTTTTTTTTTTTTCAAAAGTTTGGTAGTATGGAGTTTTTTTGGTTTTCGTTTGTTGTTAGTAAATGCCAAAACATGGCCAAGACTGTGACTGTTGTTGGCCAGGTTACAAAACAGTTCTCGGCGACTACGTCATCAATGTAAGCTCGGAAAAGCTTTTCCAAGTGGGGTTACCAAGGCACTAGCACAACACACTAATAACTGTTCCAGTTTTTCCGTTTTTACAAATATATTGATTGGTTTTTAATTAACACCTTTAGATAGTTTTTGAAAAATCACAGGTTTACGAGTACTCCGTTTGAATTTGAAAAAACGTTTGTTCGGAGAATGAGAGCCAGAGAGAGGGCCAACTAACTGTTGCCTTTTGGTTAAAAACGATGCCGCCCCGTTTAAGCCATGCTCACAAACACCACCGTACAAACACCAATACAGTCAAGCACCAATGCTCACTCATTTGAAGGGGCCTAAAGACTAGCCGTAGCGCGCGTTTTATAACCGGAATGTGAACCTCACCTTAGCACTGCTCGCAAGTAACTGACTCACAAGCTCTCGGGGCAAATAGCGAGAGTTGGTGAGCGAGCTAGGGCTAGCTGTCGCCGTCTCTTTTCTCTGGCTCGCCCGCTCTCACTCTCGCTTGCTGGCTTGCCGTGTAAAAAGCTTAGCGTGAGCCATGTTATAACTGTACGCAGTCTGTTATCTCTATGTTACTGTACTTAACAGTGGCTTAAATGGCCAGCAAGCGTGTACTAACAGTGATTGACCCTCTTTTTCTGTTAAAGCTATGTTGTGAGTTTACACAAAAAATCAGAAGATTTCAAAACTTAAAACCCATATCAACATTATTTTGTACTTAAAAATGTAAGTCTTACCAAAAAATAATTTACTATTAAAATTAAATAAATAATTAAAAATTCAAAATTAAAATGAGTTTTGTAGAAATGGAAAAGTAGAAAATATTAATGAAAGTACATACACCTTCCCTTTCCCTTTCTACTTTATATAACCTAACAGAACTTGAGATTGCTATCAAGTACTTTCTTGATCTTAACAGCTTCCGAATCCAAAACCAATCTGAAATGCCCAGCTTTACGCTCTTTCCTTAACCCTCCATATGAGTTTCTCATACGTCCAGACTCAGCTGCATTAGTAGGCCAACAAGTTAAGCGCTTTTTGTGCATCGTTTTTCGAACTCAGGTAACATAAAAAGCGTCGTGTTTACGTTGGAAATACATTTTCGAAACCGGTTTTCTTATTCACACACTCAAATACACACACACACACACAATTTCTTTGGGGCGTTGATGTCAAAGAGTTGACACTGCGACTTGTGCCGCATTTTATGTAATCTACATAAAACGGGGGAGTGTTCCAAGGAGCGGTGTTGAAAGGAGAGTTGGGGTAATCAAAAAAAAAAAGGGAATTGGTTAGTGACATTTCATATTTTCTTATCTCGTGACTCGTAGGTTTAATTACTTTCACTGCCTTTCTCAACAGCCTACGACCGCAGCATAAGAAAAAACCACAAACGAATGAACCTGCCCAGGAAAATACTTCGGAAAATGTTGGATTCTAATTATCCGCGTCACGCGATGCCGCTTTCCATTATAGTTTTCTGTGTTTTAGGCTTATTTTGTTTCTGCAATGCTTGTTTAAGACTTTAATAGGTTTTGGCTTTGGCTTATTAACTTGGGTAATATTTTCTAAATTAACAAGTATAAGTCTAAAATTTGTATTTAACAAAAAATAATGTAAACATATTAAGAATTTTAGTTAACATTCCTTAATTTGGTAATCAAAATTATAATTCCTAGTTCAGATCCTAACACCTTGGCATATTAGTAATAGCTTACATAACAGAGCACATAAAATTCGTATTCATTTAAATAAAAAATCAAATCATTGTTTTCATAGTTTGTTTGCGTGTTTGCCGCATAAACAGCTTAAAATATTTACATTTTGATTAGGCTCCCAACTTTCAACTTTCCTTCAGTTTTTCACTTTAAGAAAACTCCAAAAAGGACGTTAGAAACAAGAAAATGTGTCAGGTCAAGTAAGTTTCCACTTCAATGGTTATATCATGATGATCTAATAAAAACCTCTTACCATCTGCATAAAAGCCAAATCATCTGCCGAGGCAATAGAGGTCAAGTTTAGCGCAAAAACACAAAAGCGAGAAGGCAAAGTCGAAAAAGCAAGCGGTAATGGGCCATAATAATTGCCACAAAAGCCAAAAAAAAAAAAAAATAATTTTAAGTACATATATGCCTTAACCGAGAAAATTCATTTTTTACTCAGAAGGGTTTTGCTTTTGTCTTTGTGGGAGGCAAGGAAAATGATGTAATAAGGAAAGCAAACACACGCACATATTAGCACCCCGGAAAATTCTATCTAGACCGAAAATCAGCATGCAATGCCATCGATAAAGTAAACACAAATGGCAAAACTGTTTGTGTGTGTACGCGAGTGTATCGGTCTCGATGTGAATGGAAAATGTGTGGAAAACCGTATGCGCAATTTTCTTATTGAACAGATGCTCGAAGGCAAGTAAGTGGGTCAGAAATTGTGCCGAGTTATTTTTTCTCGACTTTTTACGTTTATATGTTCTGGTCTACTTACCATCAGTTCCTTGTGGGGCGTATTGGGATTGCTACGCAACAGACCCTTGAGGAAGATCTCGTCGTGGTCGGAGAGGTCCGTCGAGTTGCGGAAGGCGGCTAAAACGAAAGGAAAGTGTTTTAGATAAGTTACAGTCGTAAAATTGCAATCGCTAACAGATGAAATGACAGTCGTTTTGGCAGCTTAATGTTGGCTTTAAATTACAGAAAAGAAGGTCGCAGCAGGGTTTTTGGAAAGGGATTGTTGGAAACTTAAAACTAGTAATTTTAAGTTATTATCCCTTATATTTCTTTATAAACATTAGAAACTAACTTAACTTCCTAATCAATTTGCATAAATTTCTAAAAATTTTAGAAACATTTCTTAAAACTAGTTTTTAGATCTTTCAGAACTATCTATTATATTTAATGCAAACTGGTTTTACAAATACACTTAAGCTTACCTAATTTCACCCAATCTAAGAACATTAAAAGCCCAATAGCTTAACTATTCAATTTTAAACAATAAATTCTATTTTGAAGCTTTCTTTCAGTGAATTCGTATTTGGCAGGTAAAGGTTAAGTTGACCTAAGAAATCCAATATCTTTAACTCAAAAATTACTATTTTTCTTTTTAATAATCCCCCTTTTTAAGGACACCCCTGACACGTACCGTTATCGGACGTATCGTCCTCGCCATTCATTTTGTTGTTGCTGGCCAAGAGCTCTACTTTATCCTGGCGAGCTTGACGCCGCGACCGCGCGCTCCATCGAACCATTTTGGAAGCACTGGGAGTTGGCCAAAATAATAACCGAAAATTAAGTGCCACGAAGGAGCCAAAGAAGTATCGTATTTCAGGCCAAGGAAAGGGGTTTAATCCTTATGTTTTAGCCATATGCTTAGCCACTTGAAAACAATTTGTCTTTAAGTTATAATAATCACTTGTTGTTATTGTTATAAACACAACGCCACGCAAACAACAAAAACAACCATGCGCGAGAGGAATTTACACCTCAACCAGCGAAAGAAAACAACCGACTTGTTTGTGCGAGAGAGTCTAACTAAAGTCAAAAAACCGCTCGTCCAATTGGAAAGCTTTTGCAGATGAAGTGGGCATATCGGTTTTTAAATATTATTGTTATCGGCGCCACTTTTATAAGCCACAATGAGGTTGGTCACATTACAAATTCAAAAAATTTATGTTATCAAGAATTTTAAACAAATCTGTACATGAAATTTAAATTTCTTAATTTCATCATATATATTATTATCTTTTTAAAGCTATAAGCTTTTTTCCATTTTTGAAACAGTATGTTTAAATAACTAATTTAAGCAGATAGGCCTTATGCGTATATGGATTTCAAAAACGACACACTACATGTAAGAGAAGATAAAATAGCTATTGAGTTAAATTATTTTTATAAGACAAACGAATTTCTTTTAGGAATATATTTATTTATTAAATTAAATTTCAACTCGCTATATTTTCTAGCTATTAAGTAACTATAGACAACTTTTAAATGCAACACTGCGGGAAACTTATTGCTAGCAACATGCTGCTAAACGGTTAAAAACGGGTTTTACCCGCTAGCTCTCTCGCAACATTAAAGAAAATCTATAAAAGCAACTCGCAAACGACGAAGTCTGTAATTTTTTGAGCGAAGAATAAAACAAATGAGAGACGAGAAAACATCGGGAGCCGATTTGTCGCGCTAAATAACACGAGATGATATCTGATTTTATAAAAAGTAAATATTTATGTGATGATATATTAATGTAAGCGTAAAATACGTCGAACAATTCGGTTTTCGAATGTCTGTTAACGGAAATAACGATAGATTCGCGAAGAAACAATAAAATTCAGGCAGTAAAATCGGATTTGTAATCTTGGGAAAACAAAATCAAAGAAGAAAAGACGCCAGCAGCTTCCTCGGATTGTTTTGTTGTTGTTTTCAGTTCGTTAAAGTGAATTGTGTGTCTGTGCCTGTTTCTCCGTATGTGTTTGTGCAACAAAGTCAAAGTCGTCGAAGCTGCTGCAAAAAAAAAATAAAACGTGAAATGCAAATTGTGAAAAAAAAGTTGCAAAAGATACGACAGCAACAACAATAACCGCAATCACACGGCCAACGCAACAATAACAAAGGCAACAACAAAACGGTTTCGCGTGTGTTGAAAAATTGCATTGCAAATTGCTTAGCGGCAACAACAACGTTAGCAACAATAAAACAACAACAAGAAAGAAAAATTCGCGCGCCAAAAGCGAAAGAAACAAAAGGATTACACATAAACAAACCGAAAAAGCAGAAGCAGCTGAGCGAAAGAGAGAGACAGCGAAAAATCAAAACATCGTCGAGAGGCAGAATTTCCAGTTTATCCACCTTCAACTCCTGCGCCACCACCCCCAAACCCTCCTCAGCCGGGATTTCACCACACTCTTGAGCAGGCTCTTGTGGCATTTGTGGTGAGTTTCACATATCTTTCGGTATTTTTGCAAACATTTTTTTTCTCAATTGCGTTTGTTTGTCCTTCGTCCGTTTTCGCTAAATGTCCTGCTGTATAATAAAAAACATTTGCCAAAAGTGCAAAAGTCAAGGCCCCCGTTCAATGGCTCCTCTTTTGATTTGCGCCTCCCTTTGACCTTTGTGCACAAAGTACCCCGCAAATGTGCAAAAAATTTAGCCCAACCATCGAGAGTCCTTGATTTTTGAGGCACAGTGGTTGTCATAGGTCTTTATGGCAGGCCCAGTGAGAAATAAAAACTTATTCAGAGCAAAATATTGCATGTTGAAATGATAAATTTATTTTAAGGTAGGACCCCTAATTCTTAATACTTTAAGATTATTTATAGGAAAATTATAATAAACAAATGCATTCAGGTTTTAAGGCACTTTTTAAGGAGTCAACTATTTTATGATATCCCTAGAACCTTATTTTATCTGTAACCTCACCTCTAGTTTAATATCAACCCTAACTATAAATTGTAATCCCCAGGGAATTGAGCAATTCAAATATATATTTATCCATGGTGAAATATGGGATTTGAAATATGCACAATAAAACAAAGGGTAACACAATGCTGATTAATGCGCTGTGACGAAATTAGGAATAAAAACTGACGATTCGAATAATATGCGCAAATGTCGAATGCAGTCAGGTAGAAAAGAGCCAGATTCCGATTGCCAGCAACCCTGAACAAGATTACGTGCCTTCTTTCCTGTCACGGGAATTGGTCAGCATCGGGTTACCTTGAGAATCGAGAATCCAAAACCGATATGGTGTGGCGAATTCAGGAATGCGATTTGAACATTTGGACCTGAACCGGGCTTATAAACCGGCTTGATGGCGTAATCCCAAAAACCGGATTGTTTACCGTAGATCCTTGTCTTGTAATCATCTTTGTTCTTATAACGCTATAAACCGGATATAATACATTAAGTGATTATTTAACAGAAGTCTAGTTTTCCTTTCTCTAAGCGATCCTTAACAGGGGTTCTTTTTATCTAAAGATCTTCCAGTTTAAGATCCCTAGATTATTTTTCAAATCATCCACAATGAGATTTAAAAAATGTGCCTCTTTTCAAAACTACATGATATAAGTATGTAATGTATTATAATAATAATAATATTGTCTTTTAAAGTCATATAGAACGTATCACCATTCATTTTGAAAGAATGTCTTAGTTTTTTTTTGATTTAGCATTGTTAAGTGCGGTTCTTTGAAACCTGTTCGGTTGGATTTTTCAACCAAAATGCAAACCGCATTCTTAGCACTCCCAAATGACATTAGTATTGGGCTTATAGTGTATAATCATATTTAGACATGGTGCCATAAATTCCAAACCTAATTACCCACCCATTTTGGCACTTATTCCATTATCTGCTTCACACCACTGTGTCATCGATGACAAGACCAACAGTGACCGCCTGGGAACGGAAAAAAGGCTGATAAGCAAACACTTTATGTCAGCTTGACTCAAGCCAAGCCCAAAAAACCAATAAAGTGGCATAAAAAATCGGGGGCAATTACGATTAGAGAGCCACGCTTAAACCTCCAGTTAAGTCCACTGTGCCACGACCTCGCGATCTGCGTCTGCGTCTGTCCCGGTAATCAAACGTCTAGACACATTCCGTCCGACGGTTGCAGCTTCTTTAGGCACCAACAACCACCATCCTTCCAGCCTGCATCCCGAAGCAACTGCCTAACCCTACCAACTGGTTAAAAAAGGGCTCCCTACTTACAGTGGTACGTCTCTAAGGCTAACGTTTTAAGTAATGATCTACAAAAATTAATAAATGAAACACATTTACAAGCCGACAGTTCTGAAAATAAATATGTATGATATAAACTACTTCAAAGGCTGGGAGATGCATAAAAATATGTAATCTTTAAAAAGTTATTGTGTGCTATTTTATTAATCAGCATCCCAAAAATTCTTTGAATTATTTAAAATCAAAATAAATTTCAAATTTGATATGGAGTAATTTAGGGAATTATCACTGTATCGGGTACATACAAACAAACAGTAGACACCGAAAACACACTCGTACATAATCCCGTTTTATTGCACGGTTTGTCAGCCTGGAGATAGAAAGAGAAGCAGAATAAATAAGAGACATGAAGAGGTCCTTATTTTGTTTTTTCTCTGTTGTTTTTTTTCACTCCCCTGGGAACTGGGAACCGAGAAACTCAAGAACCCGAGAAAACGAGAATCGAGAACTGCAAACACTCCACTCAGCTCGGGCGCTCAATCATTATGAAAACAGCTCGGAATGCTCGTAAATTACAAAACCATGGTTTTATTTGTCAAAATTTGAAACTTATTTGAACAGGCGCCGAGAAAGTTCAGCAGCAGGCATCGTTTTTGTCGAATCGGGTTTTGTGGGTTTCTCTTCGGTTCTTTTTCGTTTTTGTTTTGTTCATGTCGTTTTCATTGTGTTCGTGATTAGCATGTCCATGGGTATACTCTCTCTTTCTTACTCGCATGTTGGGGATGGTATGTAGATCCCAGGCCCTTTTCGGCTTTCTTGCCCATCTCTTTTCCACATTCTTGTTATTACTCCACTCATATGTTTCAGTTATAAGCGTGTATATGTTATAGAGCTTCATATTTTAGTTGATTTTTATCTATGAATTTCTAATTACTGGTTATTTTGTTGTCCTCTTTGCATCATTAACCCTTGTGCTCATCACATGGCTACCCATTTGGGTTGGGTTAATGATTGATAAATTTTCACTGATGAGCTCAGACACCTAAAAAAAAGAAACACAAAAAATATTAACCGCGATTGCAAGCTATTAATCTTGGCTTGATTGATGGACCATTTAAACCCCTGACATATTCAAATTTTCAAACAAAAAGTTCATTTTTGCAGGACTTGCCAATCCCCGCAGATGTTAAATATATTTAAAATTCGCACAGATGGTATTTAAAGAATTTTTAAAATTCAGCAAAATAACACAATTGATTAATCTCATTCTATATTATAAAATTAAATTCATTGCCATGTACAAACCCTGAAAACCAAAACAAGCTTTAAATTTATCGCCATTGTAGCAGATAATTCTTTTTTGCGCTTTACATTTGTTTGCTCAAATTACGATTAGGTCAACTACATAGCATAACATGTAAATGCCAATTGAAAGCACATTCCCATTTCTGGTGTTTTGCTTCCCATTCGGATTAGATTTGCAAAAAAAAAGGCGATACAAAAAAGTAGGCAGCAAGGTCACACAGCCAAGCTATCAAAGTGAAAAAGAACAGCGGAAATGGGCTCAACACGCTTTATAAATACTCTTTCTATAAATATGTTATCTTAAGGATAAGAACCATATAAGTAATTGTGTAAATATGTAGTAAAGTTTTACTGTTGCAAAAAGTAATCAAAGTAATTAATTATTTATTTATTTAAGGGTAAATGTGATTGTAAAAGACGAATCTTTCTTTTATAAAAAATTATATTACTTAAGAAAATAATGATAAGTAAACATTTTATCAATAATTTAGCAATATTTTAATACTAAATATGTAAATCTTAAGTAATTCCT